ACTGTGACCAGCAGCAGCAACAGCAGAAATACTACAATGAGAAATGAAGACTGGCTGGATTCTGTAACGGATAAAACATAAAGAGTCATTATACTGCTGCGCACATTATAGCACCAAATTAATAACTGAAATTGAAGAGGCACTGAACGATCAGATTCAGACAGATTCAGCGTGAATATAATACTGACATACCTGAAGGTGTCTGACAGACTTCAATGATGTCCAGATGTTTGGTCTGTTTGCTGATGGGATTGTTGAGCACACAGCTGTAGGTGTTTTTATCCTGATATTCCACCTCCAGAGGTAGAGAGAGACTGATGCTGAGATCAGACACACTGATGCTGGACAATAAACTGTTTCCTTTGTACCAGGAGAGAGTCACATCACTCGCATTCACAGCTGAACACAGCAGTGAACATCTGGACACTGAAGATCCTGATGATGAAGAAAAATTGTGTGAAGAGTCTCTGATAATGACAGGAACAGGCAGAATGCCTAAAAAACATGAAAGAAAAACACGTCAGGAACAATCAATTACTGATAATGATGTTTTTAAAGACCGTCAATCATCATAGATCAATAACAATGTGCTTCCAGATGGTCAGTTTTGCATTTGATTTAAAATTAAAAACTCTTTTAATACGATTTATTCAGTTTACTCACCATAGACAGCAATCCTGAAGCTCATGTGTTTGATCACTCCACTGATGATCTGTAGTTTATAAAGTCCAGAGTGTAGTCTGTTGATGTTTGTGATGGTCAGAGATCCTGTCTGTTCATCTATCTTTAGTCTGTCTCTGAATCTCTCATTCTCACCACTAGCATATATAGAGATGATCTGTTTATAGATTTCAGCAATACGAGTCTCTGAATTCTGAAGTCTAAATGACCACAGTATCTGATCATCTCTCTGTAGTTCAGTAACATCAGTGTTTAAAATGACAGAATCTCCCTCCATGACTGATATCGTCACTGTTTCATCTGTGTAAACATCAGACACACCTGGAAGAAAAGAGTCGGCACAGATTATCATCTCAGGTATTTTTCAGAGTTTATCTGAAAACAAAACAAAAATTAAAACTTTTATAATTTAAGAAATGTTATAACTTATGTACAAAAAAAATCTAAATAGCAAAAGTATCAAGCTTTATTATTACATAACTGGTTTACACAATAAACAGTACCATAATAAAAAATAATTTTAAGGGTTAGTAAGCTTCTGTTATCATTTAATCACCCTCATTTTATTCCAATTTTTTCTTTATTCTGTGGAGCACACAAGAAGATAATCTTTTTTTCAATGTTGTTTGGGCCCCACTCAGAATATCTGTGTTCCGTAGAAAAAGGTTCATCACAACATGAAAGACGTGAGGGTTATTGATTTTTTCATTAGAACTCACACTTAGTTTTTTCACTCTCATTGTTGAATATGGATATTATTTTTTGGTTCTACTGTATCACTTTTGTTACATGTTAAAAAACATGGAAGTGCAAAACATGTTCTTTTGTATTCTACATACAAGTCATACAGGCTTTGGAAACACTTGAGGGAGAGTAAACGATGACAATTTACATTTTTGGCTAAAATTATACTTTTAAATTGATCGGATATCCCATATATACATTAAGGTTTATATAATTAACGCAAAATATACATCTTTTTATTTTAAAATACTGTAAACTGCACTTGTAAATATGGAAGTAACTTCCAAATTCAGTGTGAACTGGTCCTTTAATATTCCAGGATCAACGTTTTCAAACCCTATATGCAGAAATTCAATAAAGACGAAGCACCTTTTACACTATTATAAGCATTCCTGTTTCCATTCAGACTGTTAGAACATACTGGAATAGTCTGCCTGTTTTACAAGAAATATAAAAATATATATAACTTACCATCTAAGAGCCATAAACAAAAACAGAAAAAAGCATGAAACACCCGCCACATGTCTGAAAATAACAATCAAAAAGCTCTTCGCCCTGCAAAAACCTACTACAAAGAGGAGGCGTCTCATTTGCTGATGCACTTTCACTGACTGTGGGTTGGCAGTTTCAGTCCGAAACATAATTAAATAGCCTACCACATACAGACCTTTTTACCTCCACGTTTTTGTTTAGTCATTAAATGCATTTAATTGAAGCACAGAAAAAAATAAAACTTGCTTATACATAATGATCATTTGCATTTATTTATTTATTTACAGTTACCCGCATATTGTTCTAAAACAGTGACTGACTTTCTTCTATTAAACAAATATTCTGTGTTTTCTTTGTCATTGCTGTAAAAGTCAGTGTTGTTTGGACCACAATGTTCTTCAAAATGTCTGCTTTCGTGTTTCTCAGAAGAAGAACGTCAAATGAATGACATGAGGGTGAATAAATGATGACAGAAAATATTTCCCTTTAAGTGCAGACTTCACACTTCCTTGTTGGTGGGCTTGAGATCTGATTCAAGGATGGATTCGGGACTGTTGGGATTGTTTCAAGAATGGATTCGGTGAAGGAGTACTTGATTAAAGGTACTGCCGTGTCAGCAGGGGTGTCGGCGTGTCGTATCAAGGTGGAAGGTTAGGACGATTCCATGTGCTCGTCGAAGGAGAGAGGGCCGATACTGTGACAAGGACAGTAGTAGACAGTCTCAGTTAAAGTCAGTTCATTGTTAATTCACTTCAGTTTAATAACTGTGTGAAGTTCATCAATTATGAAATGAGTTCAATTCATCTATAAAGCAGTTCTGTAGAAAACAGCAGTGGTACCATCCAGCTCAGTTCAGTTTAATTGAAAAAAATATATAAAAAATCACAATTAATATTAAAAATATGGGTGAATTCGGGAAAATCACTGGGGGAAAAAATCCAGTTAACTTGACTTCACCCCTTTATCCTGTCATAATTTCATTAGTTGTTAAATATGGGTTTTTTTCTCTTTGGTGCTGCTGCATGAATCTTTTTCTTTTTTCTTTTTTTTTTTAGGGGAAGACCGGGGATGGTTGTAACATTTTTAACATTTCTGTCTGAATCTATGGTTTTTATCAATAGATGAATATACACATACAGTACATACACATAGAATACGGTACACATGCCCATATTCCTTTAATGATGATACTATACTATACCATATATAATACCACTTATTGTTTGGTTTCTTCAGAATGTATTTTTTTAATGTTCATACTAATTCTGTGTAATAGTAGTAAATATGGTAAATTATTTCTAAAGCATGACAAATACTGCAAGGATTCATTATACTGCATGTAGGGGATACCAGGGATGGTTATAACATTTTTGACATTTCTATCTGTATCTATGAGTTCTTTTAAGCCAGTGTGTTCAAAATGTGATTCAAACTAGTTAAAAGTGTCTGCTATTAAATGGCATAGCTGTTATCGTCGCAGCACAAACAGAAAATGCACGGTTTAGTTTCAAACAGGAGGACAGAAATGTTACAATTCACCCCATAGTCTGGTTAGTTGTAACATACCCTGGGGTGAGATGTAACATTATGCAATAAGGATCATGACCAAAAAATTATCCAAAAAAGGATTTTGACACTGACTTTTCAACATAATTGGTTAGGGTGTGTGTGTGTGTGTGTGTGTGTGTGTGTGTGTGTGTGTGTG